ACTTGTAATCATTTCCGTTGTCTATCTCCGACAGGTTGCTAAGAAAACATGATATGCACGAAACTTAAAAATCACTCTTCCAGCAATCGTCTCGTTGACTCATTTGCGGTGAACGGAAGGATAAAAGTAGAAGGAATGGTACCTACTGTACATACCGTGTCGAAGAGGATAACCTTCCGCTTGTGTGTTCGTGTTGCTACTTTATTCCATTTTGACTTTCTTCCTTTGCTTTCCGGGTTTAGAATTCGGGAACAAAGCATCGTCGCTATATACGTAATGGAGTGAGTTTCAAGCACATTACAGTATATTTATCGTACCAAAAGACACCACGGTTATAGTCTAAACCTCCACCTCCCACATCTGGTGAACCAAATCCGAGTGGAAGGACAGACACATGGAATAATTCACAAGTTCAAATGCTGTATGATACTGAATGATACGATGGTCAGACTAACCGTGTCGGTGTCTTTTGGTAAATATGATGTGCTTGTTTGGAACTCCAAATACTTTTTTATCCTAAGGTGGAGCAGTGGGATTCTCCTACAGCGCCCCCTTTTCATTTCGGCTTTGCAGTTTCTTTGCAGAACAATAACGAAAACGTAGAATTAACGCGCTGTTTCAAAACAATTCGCAAAAACGCCGAAATTCCCACAGCTGTTTCTCCAATACTATTTGGGGGAGAGTCCCACTGCTCCAATTCGATGCTCAAAAGAACCATTGAGAGCTTACTCTAGACCTTCTTTTTACGAGCAGTGAAAGTTGCAGAAGGATTTCGAAAGAGCGTTTGAGCTACCATAATATATTATAAATTTGACGTATAATTTTTTTTGAACATATCCTACCGGTATAGGTCCTACCGGAATGGTCCTACTATGATAATCACAATGATTGGAAAACTTTCGTCTCGAATGTCCAGGCAGTTTCTAAGGGGGTATGCCACCAGTAAAGCACAGACGCTTACTCTTCTGTCAGAAGAGTATTATGGAAGCGAGAACCACAGATGTAAGACTAGGCCACGACTTACTAGTAATAATAGAGTTTGATCTGCAAGAATAAGACAATGCGGAAGTTTCTCAAGGAGCACACCTAATTTCAAGGAGAAAGAATGAAACTATGCCACAAATTTTGCAAATCAATATCTGTTTATATTAGGTCGTCTCTTCTTCGTACCGGTACAGAAGAAATGATGACTGCTGATAACGCAGCTCAGTGCTTAGAATTGAACACTCAAAGTATCACAACCCTGAAAGAAAAAGAAAAAAGTGACCATCTACTCACTTTTATGGAAATTGATGGCGGCAAAAGAAGCATTGGGATATTGAGAACTTCGCGAAAAGCGAAGTTCAAGAAGGCTTTTGAGAGAGCGTAATCACACTGAAGGGTGGACACGATAACGAAGGATATAAAAAGGACGCGATAGGAGTGGCGAATACGTATACTACATTTTTTAAAATATACCTGAAGTATTGTCCGATCAAGATTTTTATCATACCGTACCAATTCTGAATGACTGACTGACCCATTGACTCATTCGTTGGAAAATTTTCAACCGTCAACTGTTGTCTCACAACTTTCTTGCAAGTGAATGCGGAAAAGCTCACAATCTACGGGTTCTGTCCTGTTGCCAACCACAACCACTCTTTACAATCCCATAAAACCACCACCATGACAACCGCACTCAAAAGAGGAGTGACCATCAACCCAACTGTCGAAGTTGCAGAAATTTTGAGCATCTATGATTACACCCCTAACGAGATAGCAGCTGCTTGGTATGATGAAGACGACATGGACAAAATCACCCGACAGTGCTTCAAAGTACTACAAAGAATGGAAGAATGTGGAGGAACCAAGAACGGCCAAAAGTATTGCACTCGGGGTCTTGAAGGGCACACTACGCTGGGCTCCATTAGTAAAAAGAAAACAAGAACGGCTTCGTTCGCAGCAGTGCTTAATGAGCAAGCAAGGCAATGGAACAAGAACGAACAAGCAGATATTCGAGCTATTTCAGATGCATACAGAAAAACTAGCTCAAGCAGCCAAATGTGGGCTCAAGTCA